AGACCGTCTGTCTTCCGAGGGAGCCACCAGCTCAGGAAGCGTTCTGGGTGTTTTCTTTCCCCCCTGTTTTGTCTTCCCTATTTAAATGTCAGCATCCCCAGCACAGAGGAGATTGAATTTTGTATTTGATTTCAATTAGCAAGGCATAAATTATATTTAATTTTCTACTCACAGACACTGGATGAGTCATTGTCCCAGAAAGCTGGCGATATTATGTTCCGCAACTGACAATGGAAGAATTCATTGCCTTGAAGCGAAATTGCTCAGCTGCCTCCTCTCCTCTCCTCTCCTCTCCCCTCACCTCCGCCCTTTGTCTGTGTCACCGACGTCCACCCGAAAGATACGGAAATACGAAGCGTCCATCTGGAGCTGAACGCGCCCCACAATAAAGTCCTGCAACAGCAGCTCCCCTCTCCGCTGTGTTTATCGCTCTTGGGGGGGGGGGCTGCTTCTTGCACGGGGGTTTCACGGGGGAGGGGGGCTGGTAGGATACCAAAACTGAGAAAAGGCCACTCCCTTGTTGCTCTAGGAAATGTAAATTAAATGCAGGAGAGGTAGTGAAAGAGCACAAAAACCTCCTGATGTTCATTTTAATTTTAGCCAGAGCTGCTTTTATCGGGACAAAAAGAGCTCTTAGCACTGCACAGATGTGGCTGATTCTCACTTCCCCGACTGGGCACAGGGCGTACTACGGCCTCCAGATGTTGTCAAACCCCCGTGCCAATCAGCACAGGCCACAGAGGAGGATGCTGGGAGTTGTAGTTTAGCAACACCTTTAACCCTGGCATGCCTTCCTTTATTACACACCACACCACCCATCCCTTTCTTTCCTTTGGAAATAAGCAGCATTATGCAAAATTCAGAGAAGGAGTAAGCCAGAGTAAGCCAAAGATATTGCAGGAATGAGACAAGAAAAAACAAAAGGAAATACAGCCAAAGCTGTTTTGCCCCGTTGCTATGCCTCTCCAAGCCTCTCTGCTCTTGCACAGCCGCCCACCGTTCCACAGCCGGCCTTCTGCACTTTGCCACTTTCTTGGTCTTTGCCTTCCTCTTGACCTGTTCACCTCATCCAGTCCCATTTACGGGACCAAACCACCTCAAGTTACTTATTTTATGTTTCTCCTGACACGTCCACCTCTTACTTCTGTATAACAAAGGGGCAAACTCATACCCTGCCACCCACTACATTGGTATCAACATTTGTATGTCTTAAACTGTCTCCCTCCATTTTCCCATCATCAGTACTCACATTCATCTACTTGCTCTGTTTCCCCCCCATTATATATAACTTGCAATCGTCCACTCCATTTTCCTTGTCAAACACAATTTCCTGTCCTTTATAAATCATTCCTCTGTCACAATTCTATTTCCTTTTTCTTTCCAAGCACTCGGGACAGTCATTTTTTACATTCCTGGACTATCCTCAAAGCAGTTCTGGGAGCTTAGTTGGGAGATGGCAACTGGAACAGGAGATACAGAAGTTTGAATGCCGGCCCTGCAGCCCAGCCTCGGCAACTGCCTGGGACTGCTTCCCCAATTGATGGCGGAGCCACTGAGGCAGAGGGGAGACTCCATTCAGACAGCATGACACACCATGGTTAGTAGCAACCCTAGTGAGGCACCCATATCATGGCTCAGCTTCCCTCCTGCGTAAGGTGGCTGTTTTCTTCGGTGCTGCATCCTCTTGAGGGAAGTCCTGGTCCAGCTCCAGATTCTGACTATGATTGTTTGGTGCAACGTCTGACTAGAGCTGGCCCAGGAGAAAGAAACTCCAGATCACTCAGCAACTAGTCAGGTCAGATCAAAGGCTCTCTATGGAGCTTACAACCTTCTTCCTTTTGCTGCATAATGCAAGGAGGAACAACTTCTATCTAACTATCTCTGTGTGAGCTTCCACGCTGTCATGCATAATCTCTATCTAGTAGGTTCGGAGAATTTATTTCACCACCTCATACAATTGTGCCATCGGAAAAAAGCAACTGGATTTTTTTAATCAACAAAATGAAGAAGTAGTGAACTATAAAATTGCTAATTATTTTCTAGTAAATTTACTTTTGAATAACTTGAGACACCAATTACAGGGACCATTAAGCACCATTAGCAGTGGGTGTACCAAGACCGGACGGCACTCTCAGCAGGCAAATTAAGAGAAGGCTTTGATGTTGAGATTTCCTGCTCAAAACTCAGGTCATGGCCTTCCTTCTTGCTCCCCTCCCATCCTTTGCCAGAAACTTAAAAAGTCATCAAATGTTTAATTATGTATCAAATTAGGATAGAGGTTTTTTTTAAAAAAAAAGCTTGGTATTGCTGTACTAGGATCCTAGCATACCCTTGGGAAGAAATGCTGCTGCCCTTCATTTGGATCTTTCTTGGCAACTGTGCAAACTGAAACGGGGCCTGGGAGCGGGGGGGTGGGTGGGAATACAGTTCTTCCCTTTGTGTGACCCTTGAAGAGACCAAGGGTCCTGTCCACCAGCTGTCCCTGCAGGCTGGCAGCCTTCTCTCCAAATGCCAACCCAAGCAGCCTTCTCTCCTGCTCCAATCTGAGTACACCACAAAAGGAGAAGGTGTAGGGGTGTGTGTGTGTGTGTGTGTGTGTGTGTGTGTGTGTGTGTTCAAGGCCTATGGCTACCTCCTCCCCCGAGAGAGGCAGGCACGAAGTGTTCAGTGCTGATATACCCTGCACGTTGAAGGGGAGGTTGTGCTTGAGCTTATATGCTCACGCCTGCTTGCTACACCACCACTTGTTGCTTGGGTCTCCCTGCCAAGGATGTCTGTTCCCCCTGCTTAGTGCCTCAGTGTGACCCTATTTCTCTTTCCACCCTGAAAGGGCTGGAGGAAGGTGTTTCCAAGCATCAAGCCCCATGGTTGTTAGTCATCAACATTCAGACAAATCCATGGTTTCATTCTCTGGAAAAAAGCAACTTCTTTAAAGGGATCCGAAGTAGCCAAAGGTAATGCTCCTGATACTTGGCATCCTGTGCGAAGCTTTCAGAAATGGGGCTGGAAGAGACCTTCCTCCTGTCCTAAAGTGTGCCTGTGAACAGTTATTGGCTTGCCTCTGCAGTGAGGTTGGGTGAGGAACCGTTCTCATTCCCTGGTAGGCTACCTTCTAGCAAGCCCCAACTCCCAACTAGCAGCTGTATGGCTGGGTGGCCCATCCATTAAGGCCCAAAAGTCATACTCCAAGTGCTCCTCAGGGGTTCTTCTTCCTCATCAAACTAGAATGGGGTGCTCCAAAGTTCAGGCCTGGACTCTATTTAAAAAAATTTATTGACTGGGATGAGGAGGTGAAGGAATGCTTATTAAGTTGGCAGATAATGCAAAAATGGGCAGGGTAGTGAATATCTAAACAGACAGAAATAAATTTCAGAAAACCTTGGTAGAGGCTAAAAAAATGGGTCGAAAATAAAAGATTGAAATTTGACAGATAAATGCAATTTGCTGCTTAGGAAAAAGGTATTAAATGCACAGGTGTAATACGGGATCTTGGAATAGTAGCTGAATACAAATTAAGGGTAGAAATTACAGTTTTCGTCGAAGACCATATGACAAGTTGACTATAGCCTAAATTGATCATAGTCTCCTTCTCTGTAAAATGGAACAATATGGTCCCACCCCCAGATGGATTCATAGTTGGTGGAATAACTGTACCTGACATGTGGTCCTTAGTGGATTTAGGTCTACAGGGAGAGATGTGTGCAGCGGGGTGCCCCAGAGTTCTCTCCTGGGCCTGGCGCTCTTCAACATTTTCATCAAGGACGTAGACAAGTGGAAAGAAAGGACGCCCGTCATATTTGCGGATGCACAAAGCTGGGGGAAGGACTGCTAGCACCTCAGAAGCCAGGGTCAAGGTTCAAAAGGATCCTGATATACCTGAACTTTGGGCCCTCTCCAGCAATATGTAATTCAGTGGAGAGAAATGCACAGTTGTAGGGAACTTCAGTAGGGAAGAAACAGACGCAGAGGCACAGGACAGGCAGCATCTGGCTCAGCAATAATACTTGTGAGAAGGTCTAGGCATCCTGGTACACCACAGATTAGACGTGAGCCAGCTGTGTGCTGCGGCTGCCAAAAGAGGCAACGCAATCTTGGGCTGCATCAACAAAGGGGCATGGTGTCGAGATTGTGGGAAGAGATAGTTCTGCTCTATGCTGCGCTGATCGGATTGCATCTGCAATAACTGTGTGCAGTTCTTGTGACAATACAAAAATGACACCGAGGAATGGAAAAGAGTGCAGAGACAAGTGACAAAGACGGCGAGGGACTTGGAGACGAAATCATATGAAGAACAATTAATGGAATTGGGTATGTTTAGCCAATAGAAGAGAAGGTTGGGGAGGGGGGGGAGACCTGATAGGAGTCTTCTAATACTGCACAGGGAAGAGGCTCTGGATTTATTCTGCACAGTGCCTGAGAGCAGAGCAAGAACCAATGGGTGGACGCTCTGCGGTGAGAAATTGAACTCAGAATAAGGTGGAATTCCCTGACTGTGAGAGCTACGAAGCAGTGGAGCAGCAGCCTCCTCCTGGAGTCGTGGGGGCTCCGTCCCTGGAGGTTTTCAAGCAAAGCTTGGGCAGCTGTTG